TGATCGTACATTTCCGAACCTAATCCAATTTGAAGATGAAGAGGTACTAAGTACTAAAAAAGGTGAACCTGACATGGCCGAAACTTTCAACCTATATTTTGTAAATAGCATCCAACATACAGTGTGTAACAACGAAAACTTAACAGAGTCGTTTTTGAATATAAAAAGTACGATTTAAAAAAAAACTCGGACACGTCGATTTCTAATTAAAGGGGGACACCTTTCAGACTAATCAGATTTTTTGTAGTACGCACCCCCTCGGAGGGGTGCGTCCGACGACCCTTATTTAGATGAGGAAAGTAGGTCGAGTGGCACCTTGTTTTAAAGGTCTTTCGAATACGTTTACAACTCTGTTGAAAGAAAATTTTTATAACGATTAGTTTTCGAGATAATTTGAAGTGAAAATTGCCATGGTAATAATACATTAGACAGACCACTCGGTAACTTGTATGCCTAAATGAAAAAAAAATGAGCAGGTCTTCTTATCAGTTTGTTTTTAAATAAAATCCTTTTTTTTAAAATAAATACCCACTCCTCTTCTTCCAGTTTTCATTAGTACAACGTTCGATTGTTTTGTTTAAACGGGTCGTGTATTGTTATTTGTTTAAAAATGCCTTACACTACTGCTGAAGGGGTTTCAGTTATTGCTTTATTTTTTGGCAACGACCAAAATGTTAATAGAACATCAATTTTATTTAACGAGCAAAACCCTGGTAAACACCTAAGCAGAAATCACGTTCTGGATTTGGTCACAAAATTCAGGAAGACAGGTTCGGTTTTAAATAAGAAAAGAAATCTTCAGAGAAGGGTAGTGAATGACGATAATGCGATTGGAGTGATTGGTCAAGTCATCGCCAATCTCAGGTTAAGTACCAGAGGTTTATTTATCAGCAATGGCCGGAATAAGCCATATGAAGCACATGGGGAATCCTTAAAAACCACAAATTCCATCCTTACAAAATTAAACTTGTTCATGAACTCAATGAGGATGATTTTGATCGAAGACAGGAGTTTTGTGAGGGCATGAGTGAGAGATTGATGCAAAATCCCGAGCTGCTTCATATAGGTCCATTTTTCATTGATGGAAATTTAACCGGTGATTCTTATTTACAACTTCTTGAAGAGGCAATACAATCTCGTATAGTTGAGATAATTGAACAGATGTCAAGATGAATTTATCCATTTTCAACAAGACGGTGCACCACCCCATTATGCTCAGCAGGTTCGAAATTTTTTGAATAATCATTTTGAACGACAATGGATTGGCAGAAGAGGTCCAATTGAATGGCCAGCACGATCACCAGATTTAACACCACTGGACTACTTTTTGTGGGAATATTTAAAGTCTAAAGTTTACGCTACACAGCCAGCCAATTTGGATGAATTACGTCGTAGAATTATTGATGAATGTCGAGCTATAACTCCTGAGATGTTGAATAATGTAACAGCAAAATTCGAACAGAATCTTTATTGTTGCATGGCGCAAAATGGCGCACATTCTGAACATTTACTCTAAATTTCCTATGTGAGTTACCCTTATTAGGTGTTACTTTTTTTGTGTGTGCTTTAAAAACAATTATTGGGATTTATTAACCCTAAAACAGTTGTTTAAACTTTTCTGTGTCATCAGCATTCAAGGAAATCAGCAGTTTGTATTCGTTGTGTAGGTAAGTTTTTAGTATGATTCACTTTTTTATCAGAAGCATAAAATATCCACTTCAAAAGGCAACCTTCATAAGGAAGTGCCACTCAATTTACCTAAAATGTAAGGGTGGTAACCAACCCCATCCCCCGAAAAAAATCTCGTATAAACAAATAATTCTTACTCTTTTACGAAATTAAATGGACACATAGTAGCAGGTTGTCATAAAAAGCAAAAATTAATTTTTTTATGAAAGATTTGAACGTAAATTGTACCTTAAAAACAATTTGATTTATTTTAAAAAGAGTTGAACTCAATAAAAATACCTTTTTATATTAAAATCTTACTTTTTATATTAAAAAACGGCTCTGTTAAGTTTTCGTTGTTACAGACTGTATATATAGTCCAAGGAATTCCGAACCATGGTTCAATTTGGATAATAATTTGTATTTGCACTTCAGCATCTTCAGATTGATGAGCTTAATTAGATAATGAATATAATATCCATGAAATCTTGAATTCTAAAATATTAAAGCAAGTGTTTGAAACAGCTGGTCATGCAATCCTCAAGTTAATCAATACATCGCTCTGTCAATTGCCCGAATTGTTAAAAATAAGTACCATTATACCCATACCTAAAGTTTCAAACACTATAAAAGCAAGTGAATTTAGACCTATCAATACCTTACCGCCAATAGAGAAGGTTTTAGAAATAGCAGTATATAAAAAATTATTAGAGTTTATTGACAAAAATCAAATCATGTTTATCAATCAATCTGGTTTTCGAAAAAAAACATTCTTGTGAAACATCACTACAGTTATCATTAACTAAATTTACTCATGAAACAGATAAAGGTAAATATGTTGTAGCTGTCTCTTTAGACCTCAAAAGGGCCTTTGAAACGATTGATAGAATTATTTTACTTCAGAAGCTGAGAAGAGATGGGATTGAGGGGATGGTTTATGAATGGATAAGTAATTATTTATCAAATAGGAAACAGAGAGTACGTGTGAACGATTATTTCTCAGCGTATATAACAAATTACACAGGAGTACCACAAGGTAGAGTGCTTGGTCTCCTATTATTCATACTGTATCTGAAAAATATACAATTATTTACAGACTGAGTTCATCAACTTATTTTCAGATGATACCTTATTGGGCTGTACTGGAGTAAATTTAGAAGAAACTGTTGGCAGAATGAATAAATTTTTAGAGAAAGTAGAAAAATATTTGAAAACCATAGAATAAAAATTGAAGATGAACGTATAGAAATAGTAACATCAGTGAAGTACTTGGGATTTCAACTTGATAATTGCTTATCATTCGACGACCACTTCAAATATATTGAAAAAAATATTGCAACAAATTATATTTTTCTCAAGAATTGCCAATAACTTATCAACAGATACAAAAATCATGATATATAAATCAATAATCCAACCCCATTTTGACTACTGTGCATCTATTTTATTCTCTTTTAACTTGAACAAAGTGCAACAATTACAAAAACTACAGAATCGAGGAATGGGAATAATTTTGAAATGTAATAGGTATACACCAATTTCTACCATGATATCTGCTCTACAATGGCTCTAAAAGATTATTCTATTGTTCCATGGTTTTTATTTATAAAATATTAAATAAAATGACCCCACACTACTTGCTATCATTATTGGCTTTCAATATGGATATTCATCACCATTCTACTAGGCACAACAGTCACATTCATATAAATAGAACAAATACAAGAAATAGTATGAAAGGTTTTCTCCGATTCAATGATGATATATTATATTTTAAGTTAGCTAACCTGTAAATTAGGGAATCCTAATTCAATAAAAAAAATAAATTCAATTCCAAAAATGCTAAAACCTTTCTTTCCCAAAAAATTTTATGAAGGACATTGTAAAATATCATAAAAATTGAAACTTTCTATGTAACTGCAGTAACGTTAGTTACAGAGACAAGTGGTAAAAAAGCATAGACAGTTTTATTTCTCATCTTCATGATGAGCTACCACCTAGCTACACCCATCAATTCATTGTAGAATAGTTTAATGTACCACTAACTGATTAAGCTATCGTGCAAAAAAACGCGTCTTAAATAAAATTCATGATGAAAATTTAATAATTATTATCATGGATATGTTTATTATATGTATTGACATGAAACTTTCTAATATTTAAGCAAAAACAAATTTTATTGTCACTGATGCTAATGATGTATTTGTTGTATGAAAATTCATACATACATATATTCATTTATGCATGTTCGATAATTATATAAAAGCAAATAAAACGGCTTCAAGTCGAACAGTAGACATAATAATAGTAATAATAGGTACCTTCATGTGAAAGTCTTGGCATGTTGGTTTAGATCTGTTCTAACATGTTGGAAGTACCTATCTTTATCAGCATTGAAAATACAGAATTAGTATACATTATTATCACTGAAGTATTTGGCTTATTGAAAAAATATTTGCGAAATTTCAGGTTTTTGGGGTACTGTTGTTCAAAACATGAAATTGGGCTTGAAGTTGAGTTCCAAAAAAAAATATAGAACCAAGAAACGTTGTGTATGCCCTAGTGATTTGACTATTTCAATATATAGTGTATCATAATACTGGAAAATATATCACGGGAGTAGTTGAAACAATAATGAAAATTGGAACGGAAATATACTACTTAGTATCTAATAATTTTCAATTCTGAACAACTTTTCTACATTTTTTTATATTTCACGACATAAAGGCACTTCAATTAGGAACGAATTGAACAGTTTGTGATCAGCTCAGTCTGCCTAAGTTCCTCTATTCAGATTCAATGTGCAATTGAAGCATCACATTGTATATTCTATCAACTCCTTTTTCATCTGATGTTACCAGCTTTCTTTGATAACTCTTGTCTTTGAATAGTCGAGAAAGTAAAAAATGGGTTTCAAAATACCTCGAATTATCAATCCGGTGTTGTTTCGGTATCCAAATTATTCATATCGAAATCGAGAAGCAAGACAATGAACAAACCGAAAATAGTCGCCTCCCAATGACTAACAGTCTGAGCCACCATGCAACAAAACAAAGCCGATTCAAGATCAAACCCGTTTCGACGGGGAAATTGCATCGCTTTGTTTTTGCCGGCGTCCCATTTGGGGCAGCCTTGGGATCGTCAGCGACGTCGTGCTGGGAGTTTCCTCGAGGAAATCGAGTGGTGCGCGCATACTTGAAAAGCAAAACAACAAGAAGAAGAAACGACGCCCGACGGGTCAGTGAAACTTTGCGTCCGTCGAGGCGCGTATGTCGGAGGGGCGCTCTACACTCGGGGGGGTTGTTGGTCGCAATCGTCTTATTCTCCCCTACCTTGGGATATGCAGTACATGATCTGGCGAGGCACTTTGAGGCCGGCCGCCAGGCAGGCGGCGAACGACGCCGAGAAGTTGATGGCCATGTCTCGTCATGGGGCACGTCACCGAGGAGGAGCACTAGCACGTGGGGCACCGAGCGCACTGAAGGTCGCGACGCGATCGAGACGTTCTCACCGGCGGAGGAGGCAGCATCCTTTTGGGCCGCGGCGATCGCAGAAGAGTTACGGGCTCTGCGGACGGTGTGGATTTCGCCCGAGTTTCGATTCGCCCGTGGAAGTGGGGATGTAGACTGATGCCGTCGACGACCTCATGGCTGCGATCTCCGCGAGATGAAGCCGGCGATGTTGCCGACGTTGCCCGCTGCACCTCCCCCGCCCCCTCCCCAAATGCACGTGCACCGCGCCGGCTTGCTGCACCCGAATCGATATCACACACATTATCACAAAAAAAACTGACCCGACTCTGGCGCGGGGCTTTGCACCTTGCATCCCTCTCTCTCCTTCGTCTAGCGCTGTCTCGCTCCAGCGCGACGCTTGCATCGAGACGCCCGAGCTAGACGGCGGTGCAGACGGCGACGCCGACGCTCTTGCACGGACGGCGGCGGTGCATTTCCTAGGCCGCCGCCGCCGCTTTGCTAACAAAGGAGCGCGCTTTTCAAGTTCGCAGGTTTTCCCTGGTCGTTGCTTTGTTTAGAACGGTCGAGAATTTGGAATTTCTTTCTCATTTTGTCGCATTGCTAACAAAATTTGTGCATGATTTCCGTCATTTTCGACACTTTTACGTTTTCACTCCACATATTTTTATTGAAATTTTCCAGAAAAAGAATAAATCGTTTTCTATCACAATTTATACACGATTTTTGTTATTCTTGGCATTATTACACCTGTTCTGAAATTTACCTGATCGCCATTTTAAAACAAAATTACGTTTCTCGTTATTTTTAACATATCTGGATTTTCAATCCTCAAATTTCCAAAACGATTCCAAATTTGAATCAAACATGAAGAGCAAATCATTAAATCCACCAAATATTACTTGATCTCTATTATCAAAAATTATTTTTTTACTATTTTCCTTATTTTCAACATATCTGTATTTTCAAACCCCGAATTGAAAAAAAAACATCTTGAAATGAATCAAATACATTTTGAGCAATAATTGAACTTTTTCAAAAAATTACTTGATCGTCATACATAACACAGGTCTGCAAAAAAACTTTTTCATTTTTTTTTCATTTCGTTAACTTATCTTTATGTAGTTTTTTGCGCTGATTTCAAAAATGACATTTGTTTTTATCCATCACGTAAGGTTTACCTACAAAATGAGGATGAAATAATTGAAAATATGAAGTATTGAAATAATGAAAGAACAAAAAAACGAGGAAAAGCAAAAAAAACAATGCTACATAGCTTAAATAAGCGTAATAGTGATACACAAGTGTTTGCAAAGTACACCAGTCATTTAAGCTTAAATTAGGTAAGAATCTTGAAATTCGAGATACCCAGCTGTAAGTCTGTAAATACTTGTATATTGACACCCTAAAAGTTGTCTCAAAACCTACATATGGTAGGGTGTAAGCAACTATTAAACTTCAAGGTCAATGGTCACAAAAATCGGTTTTTTGCGCTTTTTTTTGTAAATATCTCATTTTCTATGGGTTTTTTGCTATTTGTTTTCATCATCAATATTGTAGAATACAAAATTTTCTACAAATTCTTTTTGAAAAAATTTTTCATACGGTGAACCGTTTTCGGGATAGAGGACGGAGAGCGCGCGGTCAAAGGATCACTTTAGGTTAACCGGTGCTTCGGTCGAAAACGCGTGGATCCATTTTTACTCTTGCAAAGAATTACTGTCAGCAAATAATTTGAAAGTAATTTTAAAGAATATCTTCAATATGAATTGAGTCCGTATCCAACAGCTCTATTTGATGATGATGGCATGAGAAAAACAACAAAATCGTCATTGTATGACAACATGAGCCCAGTTGATTTTGTTCCCAATGAAAATAATGTGACGTTCATTATTGATGGCGGATTTCTTCTTCATCATGTTGTAAGGAGCAGAGAAGATACTTTTTCTATTTTTTTTGATAAATACATGAATTATTTACAAAGGCATTACAGTTCCAAAATAATTGTTGTATTTGACGGATATTCAGACTGCAGTAAGAAAGTAAAAGCTATGGAGCAGCAGAGAAGAACTGCTGCACTTTCAAAAACGTATGAAGTCTGTTTCGATGAAACAATGGTTGTACCAGTTACTCAAGAAAAATTCTTATCAAATCGAAATAACAAAGATATGCTCATTAATATGTTAATTGAAAAATTACAAGCTGCAAATATTACTACTAAACAAGCCAGAGATGATGCGGATGTTATAGTTGAAACTGCAATTGAAGAATCAAAGTCTAAAAACACTACAATTATAATAGGACAAGATATTGATTTACTTGTCACTTTAATTGGGCATACACTGTCTTACGAACAAGAAATTTTCTTTAAAAAAGTTGGGAAAGGAAATGTAAAAACGGAGATATACTCGACTAAAAGTTTTGATAATTTTCCTCATCCCAAAACACATATTTTATTTCTGCACGCATTTAGTGGCTGTGACACAATTTCTGCACTTTTTAAAAAGGGGAAAAAATAATCTTTAAAAGTTTTTGAGAAACTGACAAATTTGGATGAACTAGCTGCAGCATTTGAGGAAGAAAACTGTTCGGCCCAGAGACTATTAGAGTGGAACTCAAACCTTATTGGCAGTCTATAATGTCTATATATGGCGCGTTTTCGACCGGAGGCACCGGTTGACCTGAAGTGATCCTGTGACCGCGCGCTCTCCGCCCTCAATCTCGAAAACGGTTCACCGTATGAAAAAACTTTCTCAACAAAATTTCCTCACTTACAGTCCCTAGATTTTCGAGAAAGTCGTCCAGATGTGAGTGAAGGAAATGGACTTTGACACTCATGTTGCAGCCCAACATTTTGTAGTTTTGTATCAATTCAGCAACCATAGTTTTGTAGTTTGGGTCTTTTTTGTTTCCAAGAAAGCCTGTTATAACAAGTTCAAATGAATTCCAGGCACTTTTTTCTTTCATTTCCATTTTAGTGACAAAGCTTTCATCTTTTAAAAGTTTTCTTATGTCAGGCCCAACGAAGACTCCTTATTTCAGTTTAGCATCGGATAGACCAGAAAACTTTTCAGAAAGATACTTGGAACAACCTCCTTCTTTGTCTAATGCTTTCACAAACTGTTTCATTAGCCCCAATTTAATATGAAGCGGTGGAAGCTAAACCCTAAAAAACATTGTAACGTAGATCTTCACACAAAAAATTAAAACAAATCAAGACTGGGGATTCAACCGAAGGAAAAACTCACAATGCACGGAAGAGATTGCCGCAGTTCTCTAGCACGATATTGTGTCAACAAATCATTCGCAGAAGTTTGCGAAACTCGTTGGAAGTGCCCCATTTGAACCTCGTTTGCAGCTTCATCGAGTTAACGAGTTGTAAAGGGAGGAAAGTGTGTCAAACTCATAATGCCTCCGTCAGTATATAGGTTAGGAATTAACAAGATTATGAACTGGGAAAAGGGGAGGATGATAATTGTTATTCAACAACTTCACAAGACGATAACGGATGACAGAATTTGTAGATACGTGATTTGGGATCGTGTTCAATCTCTCAGGGTCTGGGACAATCAATCAAGTTCATTTTGCGATGCGGTTATCGACAATACATACAGGCTGTATTAGTTTTGAAACAGGACTCCTCAGAGTCTCTATGTATAAAGAAAGAAAACCACAGGATTCATACCGATCATTGTTCGGGATAAACGGAACAATGGAGTTGCTTCCATGTTTCAGAATCCGCATGTTTAGTTTACAATAATCGAGACTCTTTCAACAAACCCTGGTATAAAATGAAAGGCTATATTTTTAGGAGGGATTAATTTTGAACAAACCGGCCATCGCTGGATGCGGAAATGACAGAATCACTTGTGGTTCTTTTATTCCCTAACTGAATGGCATCCCAACGATGGCCTAATCCTAAGGTGTGTGTATCCGTACCGAGAGGATGAATGACACTGAGCCTATCAGCTGTCTCTACGGAATCTTCGAGATACCGGACACCCTCTCTTGGTAGCATCGCCTTGTCACGGTAATGCGGAGCTCTGCCGTGATTGACCTTCTTTCTCTAGCTATTCGTAGGACTTTTTATGGACACAGTAAACTTGAACATTCTTTCTGAGGCTGAGTCTACAGAGGAAATGGATGTCGAGCTTACGACTTCAACTGACCTCCCTGTAAATTTAGATCAGGAGCGAGAGCTTCTCAACTCTACAACTCCTGATCCAATAACAGCCAGAAAACGACTGAGTCGTCCCCGCAAGAGCGGGGTACCTTATGAAATAGCCTTGCACCAAATTCTTGAGCGGCGTACGCAGAATCTGTTTCAGGTGGAGGAACAAACCCTCCATGAGCAGTTTAGCAATAGCATTGCACGGTTGAATCTAAGGCATCGTCAGGTGTAGCTGACGTGCTAAAACCCTCATGTAGGAAGGTTGTCAAGGTGGGAATCTTGCATCCGACTACCTCATTAACGATGAAACAGCAGAGCATATACTTTGTGCCTGCCCCGCTGGCAACCGAATCAGATTTGTAGAGTTCGGCAGAGCCAATCGCACATTCGTTTCTTTGTTGTATAATATCAGTACCAATCTGTACTTTGTGAGGAAGCCTCATAACTTTCATAAGGATATTGAAAGCCCCATTGTTATGTTGTAGGTTTTATGTTTTTTTTTTCATTCGCATATGAGCTATGGTACCATTTAATGGGGAAATTCTAGTCAGGTATCAAGAGTTTCAAGTTGCAAAAGGGGGTATTGAGAATAATCGAAGGTGAGCGCTACGACTAACCTTGTAGGCCACTTCAATTTAAGAGCCATCGGTAAACAGCTGTTTCAGCTTATTGGGCATCGTCAGTACCGGGCAGGCGACCAACCGCTTATAGCGACCGTTTTTCATAATACTACATCCGGATAAAACGTAGCGCAATATTTTGTTTACACAATCTGCGCA